CATCACCATCACCATCACCATCACCATCACCATCATCATCATCATCATCATCATCATCATCATCATCAGCATCATCATCATCAGCATCATCATCAGCATCATCGTCAGCAGCAGCATCAGCATCAGCATCAGCATCAGCATCAGCATCATCAGCATCATCATCATCATCAGCAGCAGCATCAGCATCAGCATCATCATCAACATCATCATCGGCATCACCACCACCACCACCACCATCGTCAAAATCATCATCCTCATCATCGTCATTATCATCATCATGATCATCAGCATCATCAGCAGCAGCATCATCATCATCATCAGCATCATCATCAGCATAATCATCATCATCATCATCATCAGCAGCATAATCAGCAACACCATCCTCATCGTCAACAACAGAATCATCATCACCATCACCATCACCATCATCATCATCATCAGCATCATCATCTTCAGCAGCAGCATCATCAACATCATCATCATCAGCATCATCACCATCATCATCATCATCATCATCATGATCGTCAGCATCATCATCAGCATCATCATCAGCAACATCATCATCAGCTTCATCATCATCATCATCATCAGCATCATCATCATCATAATCATCATCAGCAGCAGCATCAACGTCATCGTCGTCATCATCAGCATTGTCGTCAGCAGCAGCATCACAATCATCATCATTATCATCATCAGCAGCAGCATCAGCATCATCAATCATCATCAGCATAATAATGATGCCAGAGAAAATCCAATCATGGTCTGTCTCGGGCTATGGGGCCATGGGCTGTAGGTATGTAGGGCTATAGGGCTCTGGGGCTATAGGGCTATGGGGCTGTCGGGCTATAGGGCTATAGGGCTCTAGGGCTATAGGGCTATAGGGCTATAGGGCTATGGGGCTATAAGGCTATGATGCTATAGGGCTATAGGGCTATAAGGCTATGGGGCACCCAGGCGTGCCGCCGAAATCGGCGCCCCACCTCACCCAACCACATGAATCCGCTAGGACCCCTACAAAGGCAAGCTCTGATTGGGGAATAATAATAATAATAAGCATCATCATCATCATCATCATCATCATCATCAGCATCATCATCATCCTCGTCATCATCATCATCATCAGCAGCAGCAGCATCAACATCATCATCATCACCACCACCATCATCAGCATCATCAGCATCATCATCATCATCATCAGCATGATCATCATCAGCATCGTCATCAGCATCATCAGCATCATCATCAACATCATCATCATCATCATCATCATCATCATCATCATCATCATCATCATCACTATCATCAGCATCATCATCAGCATCGTCATCATCATCATCATCATCATCATCATCATCAGCAGCATCATCATCGTAACCATCATCATCACCATCATACATCAGCAGCAGCATCATCATCATCATCACCATCATCATCATCATCATCATCATCATCATCATCATCATCGTCATCATCATCAGTACCATCAGCATCGTCATCATCATCATCAACCTCATCCTCGTCAGCATCATCATCAGCATCATCAACAGCAGCATCATCAGCATGATCATCATCATCATCGTCATCATCGTCAGCTTCATCATCAGCAGCATCATCATCACCATCATCACCATCATCACCATCATCATCTTCATCGTCATCATCATGATCAGCATCATCAGCAGCATCAAGATCCTCACCACCGCCGTCGTCCTCGACGTCATCATGATCATCAGCAGCAGTATCAGTTGCAGCAGCATCATCATCATCATCAGCATCAGAATCATCTGCATCAGCATAATCCTCATCATCATCAGCATTAGTATCATCATCATCAGCATCAGCATTATCAGCAGCATCATCGTGATCAGCATCGTGATCATCATCAGCATCATCAGCATCATCAGCAGCAGCAACAGCAACAGCATCAGTGTCATCAGCATCGTTAGCATCGTCATCACCGTCATCATCAGATTCGTCCTCTTCATCAGCATCATGATCGCCATCATCGTCATCACAAGCATCAGCATAAGCATCATTAGCATCACCCGCATCATGATCGTCTTCATCGTCGGCGTAGTCACAATCATCATCACCAGTAGCAGCAGCAGCGTCGTCATCAGTAGTATCATCAGCATCAACAATATCATCAGCATCGTCATCATCAGCAGCAGCATCAACACCATCAGCATCATCGTCATAATCAGCATCAACATCATGTTCATCATCATCATAATCATCATCATCATCATCATCATCATCATCATCATCATCATCATAACCAGAACCATCATCAGCATCAGTATCATCGTCGTCATCATCATCAGCACCACCCCTCCTCCTCCCCCTTCTCCTAATCCTTCTCCTCCTTCACCTCCTCCTCCTCCTCATCCTCCTCCTCCTCCTGGGTCCTCCTCATCCTCATCCTCCTCCTCCTCCTCCTCCTCCTCCTCCTCCTCCTCCTTCTCCTCCTCCTCCTCCTCCTGCTCCTCCTCGTCCTCATCCTCCTCCTCCTCCTCCTGCTCATCCTCCTCCTGCTCCTCCCACCCTCCCTCCCTCCCTCCTTCGTTCTCTGCCTCCCTCCCTCCCGCCCTCCCGCCTCCTCCTTTCAGGGATGAGGCTGGGCGAGAGGAGGCAAAAACAAATACCGCCCGCGAGGGCGCCTGAAGCAGCGGCCGTCCTGCCAGCGGGGGCTCGCGCTGGGGGGATTGCGCGCGCAAGCGCGCCCTGGAACTACCGCCCTGCGGGGGCCGCGCGCCCTAGCTACAAGAGGACAACAGCAACAGCGACGACGACGACGACAAAGACGACGACGACGACGACGACAACGACCACGACAACGACGACGACAAAGACAAAGACAAAGACAAAGACGACAAAGACAAAGACGACGACGACGGCGACGACGACGACGTTGGCGACGACGATGGCGGCGGGGGCGAAGACGACTACGGCGGCGGAGTCGGCGCGACGGGGCACCCTGGAGGCAGGCAGGGTTTCTCGGCATGGGCTTCCTGTGTAGATTCTCGGCGTTACAGAGCATCAGCCAGAAGGCATCAACTATGGTTAGGTCGGACATGTCCTCCTACAGGCAGATTTTGGACGAATCGAAAAATCAAAAATAACCAAAAATTCGCCGACCTTGTCGGCGTGTGACAGGGGCTGTTCTGTCGCCATCGCCGTCGCTGCCGCCGTCGCGTCGCCGCCTCCATCACGTCCCCTCCTTCCCCTGAGTCCGTCGCCGCTCTCCCCCATTTCCTTTGGCCCTCGTCCTCAAGCACGCCAGCCAAAGCGAAATACACCAGCCCATCCACAGCGAAATTAAGCAACTTTGTCAGTGAGTCGAAAGGAAGCCCCTTCCCTTTGATCCCTTCCCCGCGAAGGGGGGGGTCCCGGGGGGTGGTCCTAGGAGGGTCCCGGGGGATGGTCCCGGGGGGTGGTCCCGGGTCAGAATACCACCCTACCAGGGCGTGTCGGCAGGGCCGAGGCCTCCAGGGTCGCCGGCACCGGCCGTAAGGCCTTCGCAGTAGGTATTGAAAAAACACGAGAAATCGTCACCTGGCAATTTTTCACTATTCTTGAAAACTCCTCCTGTAAAAGGTCATGCCCGACTCAACACTTCTGGGCACCAACAATGGGGCACCATGTGCCACCGGCCATAAAGCACCAACCAGAGCGAGCCATAGGTCACCGACCACAAGGCACCAACCATAGATCACGAGTCATGTAAGGCGCCAACCGTCGGGCATCAAGGGTATGAATAGCCTGCTGTTTGGGGGCGGCGTTGTGGCACCGTGTAAACATGTGCAACAGCTTTACGGATAGAGCTAGAAAGTCCAGGGTTCGCTAGGGACTGGTCCCCTTTCAAACCAGCCGAAACTCTCCCGAAACCCTCCGAAAACCCTCCAGGAAGGGTTCTGAGGGCTTTTCGGAGGGTTTCGGGAGGGTCTCGAAGGGTTTTCGACGTTTGGGTGGAAGCCAGTCCATAGCGAACCTCGGACTTTCTAAGGATAGAGGCCTCTTCCTGTTTGATTCAGGGCTGTCGCTGGGCACGCTTCGAACTTCGTAATCATACCTCTTGGCAGTTTGGGATAGAAGGATGGAAGGGCGGGTCATGTTCAACACGGTGGTTTCGCCTAAATGGTGGACCAATGGTGCGCTCGTCTTTTAAGGGGGCGCTTTCCGCAGTGAAGAGGGATACGTCTATTTACGGGGAGGGAACCTGGGACTGGAGGGTATAGTGCAGCATTGTGATGCATCTTGGGTTTCCTTTTCTCATCGCATCGTGGGTCTACCTTTCTCGTCCTCCTGCCCCTCCTGAGGCAGCCACGCTGGTCGAGGACGGCGAGATCCACCCTCGATGGCCGCCAGGCTGCCAGATCCCCCTCTCGCCGCCGTCCCCGCCGTCGCCACGTTCGCCATGGTCGGCGGCGGCTGTGTCGGCGTCGGCGTCGGCGGTCGGTCGGCGTCGGCGACGTCGTCAGCGCCAGCGTCGGCAGCAGCGTCGGTGTCGTCGTGGGCGTCGGCGTCGGCATCTTCGCTGGCGGCGTCGTCCTCCTCGTCGTCGGCGTCGGCACCTCCGTCGGCGGCGTCCGCGTCGGCGGCGCGGCCGCCGGCTCCTGGAAGTCCTTGCACCACTCGGTCGTCCTCGGCCTGCCGCCGAAGCCGTCCGGCGCCCGCCCCGCCGGCGGCGGCGGCTGGCCCGCGCCGGACCCGGGCGGCGGGGGCTGGCGCCGTTTTGCTCTGTGCGTCGCCGTCGTCGCCGCCGCCGGCGCTGCCGCGAGGTCGTCGTCCTGGCCGTCGTGCGCCGAGGCCTGCGCTCGGCGGGGGCGGGCGCTCGGCGGAGCGCCACGCAGGCATCGGCAGGAGTGCACAACAGACAGCGCCAGTCGTCGTTGCCGCCGTCCGAGGGGTTTGGAGGAGTCATCGGGTTCCCCTGCACTTCCTCCTCCTCCTCCTCCTCCTCCTCCTCCTCCTCCTCCGCCTCCTCCTCCTCACTACTACTACTACTACTACTACTACTACTACTACACGTACGACGACGACGACGACGACGACGACGACGACGACGACGACTACTAACTACTACTACTACTAACTACTATACTAACTACGACTACTACTACTACGGCACGACGACGACGACGACGACGACGACGGACTACTACGACTACTACTACTACTAACTACTACTCTACTACTACTACTACTACTACTACTACTACTACTACTACTACTACTACTACTAAACTAACTATACTACTACTACTATATTACTACTACTACTACTACCTACTAACTACTACTACTACTCCTACTCCTACTCCTACTCCTACTCCTACTCCTACCCTACTCCTACTCCTACTCCTAACTCCTCTCCTACTCTCCTACTCCTACTCCTACTCCTACTCCTACTCCTACTCTACTCCTACTCCTGCTCCTACTCCTACTCCTACTCCGTTCTCCTACTCCTACTCCTACTCCTACTCCTACTCCTCGCTCCTGCTCCTGCTCTGCTCCTGCTCCTACTCCTCCTCCTCCTATCCTCCTCCTCCTCCTCCTCCGCCTCCTACTCTACTCCTACTCCTACTCCTACTCCTCCTCCTCCTCTTCCTCCTCCTCCTCCTCTTCCTCCTCCTCCTCCTCCTCCTCTTCCTCCTCCTCCTCCTCTTCCTCCTCCTCCTCCTCCTGCTCCTCCTCCTCCTATCTAAATCCGACACCGTGTCTCTGGGCACGGAGCGGGCGTGTCCTCAGGCAATTTACCTCGCCCCCTGAGCCTCAGTCCTCACTCCTGAAGAATGTGTAAGGGGCCCAGACCCCGATTCTCAGAGTGCATCGCGTCGGATTAGCGGAGCGCCGCTCTGCTCATTGGCATCAAAGCATGCGCGCCGACTCCCAGAATTCTCCGCGTCGGACTGGCCGAGCGCCGCCCCGCTACTTGGCAAAGAATGCGCGCCGACTCCCGGAGCGCTCCGCGTCGGATTAGCGGAGCGCCGTTCCAGTAATCCGCCTCAAAGCATGCGATTCATGGAGTGCATCGCGTCGGATTAGCAGAGCGCCGCTCCGCCAACTGGCCTCAAAGCATGCGCGCCGAACCAGCGATTCCCGGAGTGCTCCTCGTCGGATTCGCCGGACGCCGCTCCGCTCATGGGCCCCGAAGCATGCGCGTCAACATTGCTTGCAAGTACCCCCAGAGGCTCCCCACGATATCCCAACGAACATCCACGAGGCCTCGCTCCCAAGAGGCCCCAAGAGGCCCCCAAGAGGCCCAAAAGAGGCCCCGAGAGGCCCAAAACCGGCCTCAAAACTGCCTCAAAGAGGCCCCCGAGAGGCCTCCCACGAGATCCCAACGACCATCCAATAGGCTTCATACCCACAACACAGGCACGGTGGCGGGATGGGGCGAAGACCATGGGATGAATTAATCATCATCATCATCATCATCATCATCATCATCATCATCATCATCATCATCATCATCATCATCATCATCATCATCATCATCATCATCATCATCATCATCATCATCATCATCATCATCATCATCATCATCATCATCATCATCATCATCATCATCATCATCATCATCATCATCATCATCATCATCATCAACATCAATCATCATCATCACATCATCATCATCATCATCATCATCATCATCATCACATCATCATCATCATCATCAGCATCACAGCATCATCATCATGATCATGATCATCATCATCATCATCATCATCATCATCATCATCATCATCATCATCATCATCATCATAGTCCATCATCATCATCATCATCATCATCATCGTCGTCATCATCAGTCGTCATAATCCTCATCATCATCATCATCAGCAGCAGCAGCATCAGCATCATCATCATCGTCATCATCATCATCCCTCATCATCATAATCAGCAACAACAGCATCATCATCAGCATCATCATCAGCATCATCATCATCATCATCATCATCAACATCATCATCAGCATCAGCATCATCATCATCATCATCATCATCATCATCATCATCATCATCATCATCATCATCATCATCATCATCATCATCGTTATCATCATCAGCATCATCAGCATCCTCATAATCATAAGCATCCTCATCATCATCATCAGCATCATCATCATCATCAACAGCATCATCATCAGCATCATCATCATCCGCATCATCATCATCAGCAGCATCATCAGCAGCAGCATCCTCCTCCTCATCCTCCTCATCATCATCATCATCAGCAGCATCAGCATCAGCACCAGCATCAGCATCGTCATCATCAGCATCATCCTCATTGTCGTCATCATCATCAGCAGCAGCATCAGCAGCAGCATCAGCATCAGAATCAGCATCATCAGCAGCATCATCACCACCACCGCCATCAACACCATCAACATCATCAGCATCATCAGCATCATCACCATCATCGTCGTCATCAGCAGCAACATCATCACCATCATCATCGTGAACAACAGCATCATATCATCATCATCATCAGCATCATCAGCATCATCATCCTCATCCTCATCCTCATCATCATCATGCTCCCCCTCCTCCTCCCCCTCCTCCTCCTCCTCCTCCTCCTCCTCCTCCTCCTCTTCCTCCTCCTCCTCCTCTTCCTCCCCCTCCTCCTTCGCCTCCTCCTCCTCCTCCGATCAACGAGCCTCGGACCTCGAGCCTCGAACCTCGATCCGCCTCCGCCGCCCCTCCTGGGAGAGTCCCCGCGCGGAAAGGCAGGTTCCTGCTGCATCGCTGCCTGCGTGTGCACCTCAGCGGGCGGCCGCGGGGCCCGCTCCCGTCGATCGGGGCGCCACCCCCTCGCCCCTGCAACGTCTCCCCCTCCGCAGCCGACTGCACGCAGGAGTGACCCTGGGCAAGGGCGAAGACGCCGACGACGGCGACGGCGACGACGACGACGACGACGACGACGACGGCGACGACGACGACGATGACGACGGCGCCTGGTGCGTCTGGCCGTCGGGGGCCGCGGAAGGGGCCGAGCCCAGCCGTGCAGGCCACCGCGCTGCTGGGGGGGGGGGGAGCCCGTGGGCCCGCACCCGAGGTCACTCCTGCGAGGGGTCTCTGGCACGGGCAGCCGACAAAGGAAGCAACGAAGGGAGGAGGCTGGAGGAGAATCAGGAGGAGGAGGAGGAGGAGGAGGAGGAGCAGAAGCGGGAGGAGTAGGAGTAGGAGCAGGAGTAGCAGGAGGAGGCCGGAGGAGAACGAGGAAGGAAGAAAAGGAGCCGAAAGGGGAGGACGTGGTGGTGCGACGCGCATATGGCGAGTGTCGTGCTCGGGCAAGCGAGGCCGCCGCGCAGCCTACTTTTGAGGTAAGAGGCAAGAGCGGCCGCGCCTGGTTTTTTGTCCAGGGCCAACCGTCGGGAGTCTGTCCGCGGTGCGTCGCGCGATGCGCGCAAGCTGCTCATCGGTGAGGGCGGGAGGGGAAGGCGGGAAGGGGGAGGGAAGTCGAGGGGGGCAGGGCCCAGAAAACATGTGCCACTATGCAGCGTTGCTCTACCAAGGCCTCGGTGTCCCTTAGAAATCCGCCGGCCCCCTTGTGGGGCCACCAGGCTGTAGGCGCGGGTTCGCAGTTTCCAGTACCAGTTGTAGCTTGTAGTTTCCAGTGTTACAGTTCTGCTTCTTGCTGGTTACTGTAACTAGTTGATTGACCGCGCGAGGGAGGGGGAGGCCCAAACAGGATTTTTTAGCACCCCCTGGGAGCGTTGTCTGAATTGCTGGGGGGGCTCGAAATCGACACCCCTCACGCAGATCCGCGGGGTCAGGGTCCAAAAACACAGGGGATCTGCCACATTTCTGAAATTCGGTGCCACCCCTCACGCAGATCCGCGGGGTCGGGGTCCAAAAACACAAGGGATTTGCCACATTTCTGAAATTCGGTGCCACCCCTCACGCAGATCCGCGGGGTCAGGGTCCAAAAACACAGGGGATTTGCTACATTTCTGAAATTCGGTGCCACCCCTCACGGACATCCATCGCAAGGCGTGGTAACCCAAACTGCGAGTACTCCCTCGGCCCTTTAATCCCAAGGTGTGGTAACCAAGCTCGTAAACCATACACGTCTTACCAATCGCCCTGTGTGGTAACCCCTCTTGTGATCAGTTGGTTTTGCCGATTGCGAATCGGCCTCGCATGAAGTTCCGATACTGCTGCGCGACAGCGCCAAAGCCTCATGACTTAGCTCTTCCATGGCCCATTCTCCGAGAGAGCGGGCCGGCGGCAGGGGGCGAAGCCCTTACGGATAATGGGGATGCCCTCAGAGCCCGAGCAAGAGTCGGAGTGGGAATTAGGTCCTGTTGATGGTCTGTCGGATCAGCTGAGGCCATATCAGAATTTCTCTGGCATGTGTGAAACTCTGGGTCGGCTTTAGGTGGGCGCTCATAATGGCCGGACAGTTTGGGGAGGCCAAGTCGGGCGCAACCTGAACGCCATCATCGACCATATTTTTACATTGAATTCTCTCACATCCCGTGCAAAACAGCACGGTGCTCACTCACATGGATACATGCGATCCTCGTCACACTCAGTCATCGCACGGCTCCACATAAATACGCTCTAACGGCACTAGAAGGCCTGAGCAATGTGTCGATACATGTCCAACAGATAGGTTTTTCTTTACTACGGGTTCGGCATTTTCCTCCCGCCGTTCTGAATGGCGCTCTCGCCCCAGCGCGGGCGCAATTCAGGATCCCATTCCTAAGCCATCCTCGTCATTGTCGCCCCTATCCAATCTCCTCCACCGCTACCCCTGGTCATGTTGCACTTTCCGTTCCCGTTTTGTCGTTGCTATTCCAAGTCATCCCCCCCCATCCTCCTCTTTTTCCTCCTCCTCCTCATCATCCTCCTCATCCTCCTCATCATGCTCCTGACCACCACCATCACCACCATCATCGTCATCATCATCAGCATCAGACTCAGCATCAGCATCATAAGTATCATCAGCATCATAATCGTCATAATCAGCAGCAGCAGCAGCAGCTTCAGCATCATCATACCATCAACATCAGCATCGGCATCATCATCACCACCAACATAACCAATATCAACATCGTCACCATCATCAGCCTCATCATCATCATCAGCATCATCATCGCCATCACCATCATCATCGCCACCATCACAACCCTCATCATAATCATGAGATTCAACACCATGGCCATCACTATCATCACCATCGGGATCGCCATCACGATCACCAAAATCACCGCATCCTCATCAGCAACAACAGCAACATCCCCCTCTTAATTGTCATCATCCCGGTCATAACCGTCAGCATCACCATCATAGACACAATCGCCATCTCCACCCTCACCCTTCCTAACACTCGACGTCCGCCTGATCGTCAGCCACCTCCTTTATCGTCATTCTACAGTGGACACAACTCCCCATTCTGATCGCGCATCACATGGACCCAGGTCCGTTTGTCCGCCCGTCGGGGGATAGACGAAAAATCAGCGCACCTGGCTTGCCTCTCCCCTTCTCCCACGACACTTTGGGCTGCCCGGGGGGGCTGGGCTCAGCCGAGCTCATGGCCGGTTGCTTCTCTATTCCTGGAATCCTGGGCCCTCCTCCTCCCCATACCCCTCCCATCCCCCCTCCTCCGCCCAGCCTCCTCCTCCTCCTTTTCCTCCTCATCCTCCTGCAGCGTTGCTGAGAGGCGGATCACGTCGACAACAGGGCCAGAGGGCAAACTGCCACCTTACCAACGGAATCACCTCTCTCGCCTCCATTTCGGTAAAACCAAAGGCACCTGCGGTCGTCTTCTCCTCCTCCCCATCCCCTCCTCCTCCTTATCTTCCCCTTCCCCCGTACCCCCCGCTCCTCCTCCCCCTCCGCCTCGGGATGTTTTTCGAGTTTTGAGGTTGCTCCTCCTCTTCCTCCTCGCGCAAGGGCGCGGGGCGCCAAGTCGGCAGACACTCTTCTTTCAGGATGCGTGCTGGTCCTTCTCCTCCTCCTACTTTTCCTCCTCCTCCCACTAATTACCCATCCTCCCCCCCGCCTCCTCCTCCTCCTCCTCCTCCTCCAACTCCTGCTCCTGCTCCTGCTCCGACTCCTCCACGCATCCCCCCTCCTACTCTGCCGTGTGTTCTCTGTTTTCTATCTCTCTCTCACTCGCTCTCTCTCTCTCTCTCTCTCTCCCTCTCTCTTTCTCTTTCTCTTTCTCTCTCTCTCTCTCTCTCTCTCTCTCTCTCTCTCTCTATATATATCTAGATATATATATATATATATATATACCTCCCTCTGTCTCTCTGTCTCTCTCTCTCTCTCTCTCTCTCTCTTTGCCTGCCTCACATGGTGTTGACGCTCCCTCGCAGGCTGACCATGAGCCTCCGTCCCATCCGATCCGATCCGATCCCTCCTCGTCCTCCTCCCCTCCGCTGGACGGCGCCCCCCCCCCCCGTGAGCCGGGCACCCGCGGCTCCCTCAGCGACATCTCGGCGTCTCGGGCGGCCTGCTGCGCCTGCCGCATCTTCAAGTGGTCGTCCTGCACGCAGGAGGTCCAGGGGCGCAGGGGGGAAGAGCAGGAGGGAGGGGGGAGGGGGAGGAGGAGGAGGAGGAGGAGGAGGAGGAGGAGGAGGAGGAGGAGGAGGAGGAGAAGGAGAAGGAGGCGGAGGAGGGGAGGCCAGGGGGGGGAGGGGAACAGCCACAGCCACAGAGCCGCCTGAAGTGGCCAACTCCGTCCAGCCCTGCAGTCAACCCTGATCTCTTGGGATGGAGGCCCCTGCAGAGCTTGGACCACATATTCTTCCTCCGAGCGGTATCCGCAGACCAAGACTGTTTGGCTCGGTCTGGAAACTAAGCTGGCCGAAACAGACGAAGCTCCCGCCACTGCAGTCGGCCACATTCCACTTGTGTCCGAGCTACCGCGGGCGCCTCGGATCCACTCGAAGCTTGAGAGAACAGTTGCTAGGGGAAGGGCATTGGGCAGCTCGAGAGCTCTTCAGGCACTCGCTGCACCGCCAAGACTTCCCAGCCCAAGCTCCGAGAGCGCGGCGGCGTCGCATCCTTCGGCGCAGGCGAAGGGCTTGACACGCAGGACCCCCTCAGGATCCGTGCGATGTCAGCTCTCCATCAGGTTGGCAGCCAAGGGTGGTGACCGCTTCGGCAACCCTCAGCACACAAATCAAGAGCTTCAGCCTCGGCGTCCGAGCAGATGGGGTGCAGCCTGGTCCGTTCGTTGGCCGCCACGCCAGCAGCACTGTTGCAGAGAATGTGCACGCGCTCGGACATCGGCGGAGAAGAATCGGCTTCCTGGTGGGCCCGAATCGTCGAAACACCAGAGAGCCGCCCCTGGGCACCGGGCAACGCCTGCATCACAAGCCCGCTGTGCAGTGGAGGTTAGTCTACAAGAAACCTTCCACAAGAAACCCAACCCTGTGACCCCAGGACGTCCCTGAATTTCTGGGGTGGGGGGACGTCACGTTTTCCATCGCAAAACCATCGAAACCCAAGAAACCCAGGGCACCCTGGAGGGAAGCAGGGTGTTTCTTGGCATGGACCCCCACCGTAAGGCCTGGGAGGATGTAGCCGATTCCGCGGCCCCTTAGAAAACTCATTGGCCACGACCTGGCAGTCCGACAGCACAAGTGCTGGAATTAGTGAGGACCGCAGAGGCGCTGGCTGGGGCCACACATTCTCACTGCACCGACCTTGCAGACGTGCTCCAGCGGACTTTTGCGTGGACTTCTGTCAATGCAAATCCCCAAAACGCCAAGCGAATTACGAAGTGACTTTCACGTGGATGTGTTTAGTCTTCAGGCCTGGCAAACAAAAAAAAACGCATTACGTTCACTTCGAAATCCGGAACGACATTATCCAGGACATTCTTGACCCATTCTATTGTTTTCCGAGCGGAATCCACTCTGCGATGTTGGCGACATGAGAATGTAGCCCCGACACTGGTCTAGGGGTAAAAGCCCCCCAGAGGGCCGAATATCCGAGCTAGCAGCCTGCCAGCCTCACTAAGCCAGACAGCTCCCCATCCAGACCTGGAAAGCTCCCCAACCACAGATCTAAAACACTGGCAGTCTCCGTACAATCTGCTAGGGGGGTCTTCCGCAAAAGCATCAGGGAAGCACTTGTGCTGCACGGCTTCCAAAGCTTGCTCCTGCGCGAGGACGCAGGAAGATCGTTAACGGGGCGCTGGAAAAAGGCCAGTGGCGCACAAGAACTCAAATCCGGAGTAAAGGTGCTGGAGCTCCTGCCTCACTCTGCGCAGAGGGCGGAGACGGACCAAACGCACTCGCTCTTCCTCATAGCAGGGGCAGAGCCCGAGACGTTGGATGATCGCGTCCCCAATCTGAGCACACAACGTGTACATGTCTGCGGTAAGGCACCCGAGAGAGATGGGTCTACTGAGAGGCCAGACAGCCTGGCACGTGACAGCTGCAACCGCTCCTTCTTGCTTAGCCGAAAGCTTCTCAGGAGCAAGAGACCTGAGCACCACATCAAAACAGACTATCTCCCCAACCCCGCACTTGACGCTGGCTTCAAGCTCCAAAGCCCCGAAAATGGAGTCATTGATGATACGCTTTTAAAAGGGCAGAAGAGGTACGGAGGAGCGGCATAGAAGTGCCAGTGTCGTCCACCATGGTGTAAAGGTCGGGCACTCTCCCATCCATTCTCCCATCCAATCTCCTACATTATCCCATCCATTCTCCTTCACGATGATGGTGATGGTGATGGTGATGGTGATGGTGATGGTGATGGTGATGGTGATGGTGATGGTGATGGTGATGGTGATGGTGATGGTGATGGTGATGGTGATGGTGATGGTGATGGTGATGGTTATTGTGATGGTGCTGGTGATGGTGATGGTGATGGTAATGGTGGTGATGATAGTGATGACGACGATGATGCTGCTACTGAAGATGATGATGATGACGATGATGATGTTGATGGTGATAATGATGATGATGGCGATGATGATGATGGTGGTGATGATAATGATAATGATAATGGTGATGATGATGATATGATGATGATGCTGCTGCTGATGATGATGATGATGGTGATGGCGATGCTGATGATGTTGCTGATGTTGCTAGTAACGACGATGGCGATGATAATGACAATGACGATGATTGTGATGATGATAATATGATGATGATGACGACGATGATGATGATGATGATGATGATGATGATGATGATGATGATGATGATGATGATGATGATGATGGTGGTGGTGGTGGTGGTGGTGTGGTGGTGGTGCTGAGATGACAGGCTGATGGTGGTGATGAAGACTACGGTGATGATGGTGCTGCTGACGGTGCCAACGATGCTACGTATGGTAACGATGACGGTAGTGATTGGAGTGACGACGACGACGACAACGACGACGACAACCACGACCGCGACCGCGACCACGACGACGACGACGACGACGACGACGACGACGACGACGACGACGACGACGACGGCGACGACGACGACGACGACCCCCCGCGCGCGCTCATCGTCCCTCCGCCGGGACTTGGAGTTCTGCTGCTGGAACAGCTGCTCCTCCGCCGCCCGCGCCATGTCGGCCTGGTGCTGCTCCTCCTGGAGCCGCTCCTCGCAGGTCCGAGGAGGGGGGCAGAAGGAGGAGGAGGGATGAGGAGGAGGGATCTGGAGAAGGGATGAGGAGGAGAGATGCGGAGGAGCGATGGGGAGGGAGGATGAGGGAGGAATAGGAAAACAAACGAACAGCCAGTGCGGACAAATGCCTGGGCCTCGTGAGGCCAGGTGAGTGAGGCCGCAGGAGGAGGAGGAGGAGGAGGAGGCGGAAGAGGAGGAGGAGGAGGAATGAGAAGGAGCGAGCCAGCAGCCAAGGCGGGAACGAGTCGTGACCGCCCGACTAAGAGAAAGACCGCATCAGCGGCAGAGCACACGGCAGAAAGCAGCGTGCACACGGCAGTGCAGAGGGGGGCCCATCAATTGCTGCGTCCAACGGTGCAGGTTTGGCTGAGCCTGGCCGCGGACCCACGGGGCCCCCTCCTCAAAGACTGGACAGGGTCCAGGGCCTGGCCCGTGCGGGGGTGAGGGCCCTGGGCAGCACATCCAACGTTCAAGGCCTGACTACTATTGGTATCCATTAGTCGAAGGGTGATCAGACCGACCATTGCACCTCGCACTCAGACCCCTCGGATTGCCTCCTGGGGAAAGCGTGTGCGCGGCGCACACAGAGCAGGGACAGAAAAGCACCCTTCCAGAACATGAGACCCTCTGTCAGCCAAACAGAAGGGCATTCGAGGGTGCCCTCCGCCAGGATGCGCAAGAACATCCAACAAACACGAAAAACCTTAGGGTACCCTCTCCGAACCGACCTCGATCTGATACCTCGGTCCGACCATTCTAGTACCATGTGTTTTTGTTGTTGGAGGTCCACGTCCGACACGAGCGTATAGTGCGTACACAGATATTACTGGATATATCGCTGTCCAGGCGGTTGGACCAGAAATCGCCCGACAATGTGCTTTTGCTGCAAGGTGCTTCAGAGCGTGCGTCGCCCCTGCGATAGCGACGCATACATAGTACGAATGACTGAGCCCGGCCGATGCTAGATTTCTCGAATTTCCTCGGCTCGCGCTGGATGTCATCGATCTGTCGAGGTCTCAATTTTTGTAAGGTCCCCAGATGATTCTAGAAATCTCTGTTGTTAAGTCAAGATACGCACAAATTCCCCTGGGGGTCTCTATGCCTCAATCGATTCAACCTTACATCGGGTCGCGTCGGCGTGCATCGATTTATGGCCCTGCTCCCGCAAATCGATCGGAGGAGAGTCGCCAAGCTCTGAGGAGACCTCTCCGTCCCTTCACCTGCAGGGCTGGTGTTTCGTCGCGGGCAGCTCTGAGGTTGCAGAAACAGAAACGGCTCAGCGTGGCGTTTGAATTGTCCGTCGATGGTCGACATGAGCCACGCGTCAAAACGGGACTCTCGCTCAAAACTTTCCCAGCAATATGATCACACAGTGACTGCGGCTCCTTTTCCACACGGGGCTCAAGCTGGGCAGTTCCTTGGCCTTTATGACCCTGCCCTTCGCATAGAGTAGGGGCCCGACCACCAGAAACCTTCTACAGGAAACCCAACTCTGAGTCCCCAGCACTTCCGTTGGTCTCTTGTGTGGGAGCGTCACGCTCTCCGTTGCAGGACCAGCGCAATCCGAGAAGCCCAGGGCACATTGGAGGCGAGCAGGGTGTTTCCTGGCAGCGGTGGAGGAGGAGGAGGAGGAGGAAGAGGAGGAGGAGGAGGAGAAGGAGGAGGAGGAGGAAGAGGAGGAGGAGGAGAAGGAGGAGCCCTTCTCGGGCGGAACCTCCTCGCACAAGGTGCTGCCTGGAATCTACTTGCCTTCTGCTCCCGTGCCCGCCCCTCTCGGGTCCCCGCGCGCCTCCAGCGGCCCGCTGCCGCGTCAGCCTGCTCTTGCTTGCTGCTGCAGCAAGCTCCGCTTTCGTCAAGGGGCCTGGGTGTTGCAGTCAACCCGCATGGGAAGGTTAAGTCGGGCGTGTCCCTCTACAGGAGGAATATTCGAAAATAGTCGAACAATAGTCGGGGGGGCCATTTTTTGCGCATGTTTTGAATATGTTTGAATATTATTTGTGTATACTTTTGTTTTTCGTCCAAAATCCGCCTGTCGAGGGACATGCCCGACCTAATGGTCAGGATGGGCAACCTTCCCAGGTGTACTCTGGGTTTCTTAATAAGCGTGGGGGGGTACCCCCCCGACGGGGGTCAACCTCGCCTCGTCGTCGCTCTGCGACGGGGGTTGGAGCGCCTTCGGCGAGCGGTGGCTGCCCGCGACGGGGGTCGACGTGGGGCTGTCGGCGGGGGTGACGCCCCCCCGACGCTTATTAAGAAACTCGGAGCACCCTTGCATCCCTGCGACTGTCGCCAGCCAGCCGCGTTCAAAAGACGGTCGCGTGGGCCTCCCACACGCACACGGGCCAACGGAGAGCGAGACGCTCCCACACGCACACGGGCCCCTCTCCCCTCCTCCCTCCTCCCTCCTCCCTCCTCCCTCCTCCCTCCTCCCGCCTCCCTCCTCCTCCTCCTCCTCCTCCTCCTCCTCCTCCTCCTCCTCCTCCTCCTCCTCCTCCTCCTCCTCCTCCTCCTCCTCCTCCTCCTCCTCCTCCTCCTCTCTCCTCCTCCTCCTCCTCCTCCTCCTCCTCCTCCTCCTCCTCCTCCTCCTCGTCATCATCATCATCATCATCATCATCATCATCAGCATCATCATCATCATCATCATCATCATCATCATCATCATCATCATCATCATCATCATCATCATCATCATCATCATCATCATCATCATCATCATCATCATCATCATCATCATCATCATCATCATCATCATCATCATCATCATCATCATCATCATCATCATCATCGTCGTCATCATCATCATCATCATCATCATCATCATCAGCAGCAGCAGCAGCAGCAGCAGCAGCATCAGCATCAGCATCAGCATCATCATCATCATCGTCATCGTCCTCCTTATCCTCCTCCGTGGGGCCTCGGTGTCTGGTTTCCTGGGTGTCTGGTCTCCAGGGGCTTGGTTTCTGTGGGGCTCCTGGGCTCGGCTCCTGGGCTTCGGGCCTTCTGGGCTTCGGGTGTCCTGGGGTCGGGCCGTCCCCGCAGTGGCGGGGGGTGCGCCCTCCAAGATCCCCCTCCTGGAGCATCGGATGGCGATTACTCCTGTCGAAGTGCCCTGGCTTGGGGCTTGCCCTGCACGTCGCGCGCGCCACGCCGTTTCGAGCGCCGAGCACGGCTCGCGCATGGCGCCGATGTCACATGAGCTCTTCAGCCCCATACCAGCAGGGGGAAGAAAACCTCCTCCTGCTCCTCTTCCTCAACCTCCACCTCCTCCACCTCCTTCACCTCCTCCACCTTCTCCTCCTCGCCCTTCTCCTCCTCTTCCTCCTTCACCTTCACCTCCTCCTCCTCTTCTTCCTCCCCCGCCTTCTCCTCCTCCTCCTCCTCCTCCTCCTCATCCTCCTCCTCCTCCTCCTCCTCCTTTTTCGACAAGGGGGGGGTGGCAGGCATCGCAGGGCGGCTCCAGCTCCCGCCGCTTGCGCTCCCTCGCCTGGCGCTGGTCCTCGTGGAAGTCGCTGAAGGGCCTGCCCGCAGGAGCTCCGTGCCACCGCGCTGAGGAGGCGACAGGGTGGGTGTCCATGGGAGCCTCTGCGGACCCCCGCGGACCTATCACAAGCGTGATTTCGACCAGCGATCGTCCAGACTTCGACCACCCCTCCCTTCACCCTCTCGTGGAGATGTCGCCCAAATGTCGCCCAAGTGTCGCCCAGACGTCGACGAGATCCGGGCGGAACGCTGGGACCCCCCGAGGCTCCCGGGAAGCGAGGCGTGGGGAGGCGGGGCGAGCGTGGGGCCCCCTGGGCTAGAGCCAGGTCGGGCATGCCCCCCGACAGGAGGAGGAGGAGGAGGAGGAGGAGGAGGAGGAGGAGGAGGAGGAGGGGGAGGAGGAGGAGGAGGAGGAGGAGGAGGAGGAGGAGGAGGGGGAGGAGGAGGAGGAGGCGGAGGAGGATGCAGGCATGTCCCCCGACAGGCCGGCATGTCCCCCGAAGAACAAATCCAAAAGTGCAGTCCCAAAAAATGCTCAAAAAATCGACGAACGACATCTTCCCCATAATATGTTCGTCTGGGCTGTGTCTGAGCATTCCCTCCTGTAGAGGGGCGGGCCCGAGCGAAGACTGGAAAACGGAAACGTCACACGAGCCGAAGCTCTCGGAGCGCCGCGCGGGCGTCCTGCATCTCCGCCGGGCTGTCGGCGCCTCCGGCGCCGCCCCCGGTGCGCTGCGCACGCCGGAGGGCCCGGCGCAGATCCAAGGAGTCCGCGTGGAGCTCGAAAGGTTTGCGGGCAAGCTGGAAAGGGTCGAAGTTAGCGCAGATCCAAGAAGTCCGCGTGGAGCTTGAAAGGTTTGCGGGCAAGCTGGAGAGGGTCGAAGTTAGCGCAGCTCCAAGAAGTCCGCGCGGAGCTTGAAAGGTTTGCGGGCAAGCTGGAAAGGGTCGAAGTTAGCGCAGATCCAATAAGTCCGCGTGGAGCTTGAAAGGTTTGCGGGCAAGCTGGAAAGGGTCGAAGTTAGCGCAGATCCAATAAGTCCGCGTGGAGCTTGAAAGGTTTGCGGGCAAGCTGGAAAGGGTCGAAGTTAGCGCAGATCCAATAAGTCCGCGTGGAGCTTGAAAGGTTTGCGGGCAAGTTGGAAAGGGTCGAAGTTGGTGCCCGCGCTGACGGGGTAGAGTCGCGTCTGGCCAGGGCCATCGGCAGCAGCAGCTGCTTGGGGCGGCGGGGCAGCCGCTGGAGATGGGCAGAAGCTGAAGAGAATAGAAGGGCCAGCCACATACACTCTTTCCAGCTTCCCGGTATGTTTATTCAGTTGCTTCTTCAAAAGCGGGGCCCGCATGTCCCGCGCCTCCTCCTCATCCTCCTCCTCTTCCTCCTGCTCCTCCTCCTCCTCCTCCTCCTCCTCCTCCTCCTCCTCCTCCTCCTCCTCCCCTCCTCCTCCTCCTCCTCCTCTTCTCATCCTCCTCCTCCTCGCCCTCCTCCTCATCCTCGTTCGGTCCTCACCTCCCCCCCCCTCCTCATCGCCCTCATACTCGTTTGATTATGCTTCCCCCTCTCCCTCCCTCCCTCCCTCCCTCCCTACCTCCCTCCCCCCTCCCCCACACACACCACACACACACACACACACACACACACACGCGCGCACTTGGGAGTTTTGCGCTCGGGCCGCTTGTGCCGCCCGCTCCCTGCGAAACCCCAGCCGTTCGCCCGTGACCAGCGGGCGACGGCGCAACTGCGTCCCCTCGCTCGCCTCCGCGGCGGTCGCGCGCCGCGACCGCGCGCCCTCCCCCGCTGGGCACAGGCGGCCGAGGAGACGGCACCCCCCCGCCCGTTGGGGCCCGCCCGACCAAGAACCCGTGGAGGCCCGCGGTCCCGACCAGCGCGTCAAGGTCCCGTCGCCCGACCCCCGCCCGCGGAGGTCGCCGCCGTCGTCGTCGTGCTCGCCCTCGTCGCCGTCCTCGTCGCCGTCCTCGTCGTCGTCGTCGTCGTCGCCGTCGTCGTCGTCGTTGTCGTCGTCGTCGTCCTCGTCGCCCTCGTCGCCCTCGTCGCCCGTGGCCCTCGCCCGTGGCTCGGGCCAGGCAGGCGCTCGGCAGTCACCGCGGGGACCGCCGCCTCACCATGGCAGGGGCTGCGGGTCGTGGTGAGGGGCAGCGATAAAGGGGGAGGCTGGCAGGGGGGGGGATGCGTCGACCTGGAATCGGCTCGGCGCTACACTGCCGATAGCTCGGCGATGGGCCTCCGACGGTGCATCCGCACCGTCTCCTGGGCAGGCTGGGGCCATCGGGCCCCCATCGGCGACGAATGGGCGATCAGGGGTCGGTGCATCCCCCCCCCATGCCTGTCCCCCCCTGTTTTCAACGCCCGGAATGGGTACGGAAAGAAGGGGTACAATGCCCAACAGCAAGTGCTGTCCCCCAAACCAACGGCGGCCGCTGTTGGGCTGGCGGCCTTCTGCCTCGAATGGACAACAGGCCGCGGCGGCGCGGACAGCGAGCCCTGTGCAAAATGTACAGGAGCTGCTGCTGCGCATTGCACCCATTCCTTCCGTACGTCAGGTTCGTGTAGTGCCGACTTCGGCGTTGGCTTCTGACATCGCGGGGATCGCTCAACCTGGAACGATCGGCCGTTTCCGAAACTACTAGATCGTTCCACATCGAACGATCCTGGGTCGCCCGCGCGCTCAAAGTCAAACGCCGCTGGCGGGGTCGCCGCTGGTCGACACGAACCACTCCTTCCGTACCGCCGGGGCGTTGACCTAAGGAACCCTAAACAAGGAACGGGGCCCCTTTCTCCCATTAAGTTGAACTTCGACTTCCCATGGAAAACCTCGGGACAACCCGAGGCAAACTGTGAAACAGTCAAGGAACACCGAGCCCCTCCCCAACAGGGCCCCGACTGTACCCCTTTCGTTCGTGCAGAGGCCCGTCGCTGCCCCCCGGACGCGGGGGGCCGTGGCCGGGCGGGCCACGGCGGGCGGAGCCCGGTCGCGCTCGGCGCCCGGAGCCGGCGGCCTGCCAGAGCGCCCCAGCCCGAGCATGAAGACGCCCCACGTGCGGGTGGGGATGGAGGCACGGGCTCTCCAAATGTCGGGTGTTGCTAGAGGTGCCCCTGGTACCCCCAGTTTTTCGCTCCGTTTTTGGGCCCCTGGGACCCTCTGGACCTCGTGAGGGGTGCTCTGGAGGCCGTCTGGGCCACGCCGAGAATCCTGGGGGCACCTTGGGCCAGGGGCACTTCTAGCAACACCCGAAAATGTGCGTGTGTGTGTGTGTGCGTTCTTCTATTAGGGGGCCACATGCGAACCCTACCCCCACCCCCCACGATGTCTGAGGGGGAGAGGGGGGTTCACTCCGTTCGGGGACTCCCGAGCGGAGTGAACCCCACCCTCCCCCTCGGAAGTCGTGGGGGGTAGGGGTAGGGTTCGCATGTTGCCCCCCATCTATGTTCCCCGGCGCCCCCCCCTACCGGGAGCAGGGGGCAGATCAGGGCCTTCGGATCGGCTCAGGGGTAGTCTGGTGGGTGGCGGCAGGCAGGCGGAGGGTGAAGGCTGGCGCTGCGGATGATGCAGACGGTCCGTGCTCGCAGAAGCTCCTGCAGCGGAAGTGGTCCAAGCACCGCGGGAGGGCGAAGGCAGGGGGGGGCCGAGAAGCCAAGGATCGTCCTCCTCGCGGTGCTGGCTGCGGTGCAAAGTCCCATTGAGGAGCGCGACTGAATCTCAAGGTGGCAACGGCATGGCAGCGGAGCACAAGTCGGCCATCCCGGCCAAGGCCAAGGCCCAGCCAGCAGCCTCGTCAATGCTGTGCTCGATGACATCCTGGAGCAAGTGGAGTGCAGTAGGGACTGGTGGCGACCTTGGTCGAGGAGCTCGAGGCGGCGAGAACAGAATACGAGTCGGCAGTGGCAGAGGTCGCTGCGGGGGTTGGGGCACCAGCTGTGGCGGCTGTTGTCCCGAAGGCGGCCACCAGCAGTGGACCAGTCAAACTATTGCTGGCCAGGCTCATGGACGGCAACCAGAACGACATTGATCTGCACGGCGACGGGCTCTTCGGCTTTGCTCAGATCGAAGGTTTGGACCCGTCAGCTCTGGAGGAGGCTAAAGAGCACAAGAAGAAGATGCTGTTTGCCTCCAAGAGCATGGCAGGCACCTTCCTCGGCGAGATGCGCCAAGTGGGGGAAGCTCTGCAGGCGGAGCACAAGGCCCTTCAGGAGCGCACGTCATCCAGAAGGAGGCGCACGGGTGAAGCCGAAGAGTGCTGGCGAAGCAGGTGCCGTGGCAGAGCCAGCTGCTGCTGAAGATGGGGCGGGGGCTAAACCTTCGGGCCAGCAGGCGGCGACGCCCAGCAGCCAGCCTGAGGCCTCTCAGCCATCCACCCCGTCGGCGGAGACGCCCAAGCAGTCGGCGAGGTCAGTGGCGGCAGCGGATGGCGGCACAGGGCGGCGGCCCTGGCAGGGCAGGCCAGGGGGCGGAGAGGCACCGCCGCGAGGGCAGCCGGCAGCACGGCATCCTCAAGAGGGCGGGGGCGACCCGCGGGGCCTGCGGCTCTCGGCCCGCGGTGCCCTGGCGGAGAGGGCCTCGGTCCCCCGCCCGGGCGAAGAGGGCCTCGCCCCGCTGTCTCGGGAAAGGTGGCCCAGCAGCGGGAGGAGGGGGGTGTCGATCGCAGGCTCAGAGGTTGACGCCAGCACCGGTGTCGGCGTGGTGCCTCCCTCCACCGAGGGACGGAGACCCCAATCTCGGTGGTGGTGTTCATACGCTGGCTTCCGAGAAATCCAGGACCGTCTTCGCCCTGCGGAGGCAACCTTCTGTGTTGGTGTTGGTGCCCATTTCCAGGCCTCCAAGTCGAGTCGGGTGAGCAGTCAGTTTCGGGTAAGCTCTTCCTGGGTGGCAGTGCGCCGCGTCGCGCGGTGTCTGAGCTGAATCGGGCGGCCCGGGGGTTGGCCCTTGTTGGCAGCGACAGCCGTTGCCTTGGGCGGGTGGTCGAGAAAAGGGCTGCGGCGGCCTCCCCCGAAGGTCTCGGGCGGGAGAGGCTGCTGCCTACGGTCGCG